TAGTCAGAAAGGCAGGAGTCCTACACGGTCATCACACTAGTACCATTAACTCAGCCCCATACCAAATGCCTGAGAAGGGAGCTCAGCAGGAGAGAGAGAGAAAAAAAACCAACAAAAACTCCCGAAGAGCCTGCTGCTCTGGGGCACAGCTGAAGATCTTAGCTTAGTTGGACTTGATGATCTCTGGAGGTCCCTCCCAACTCCTACGATTCTGTGATTCTTAAGAATCCAACTCATCTGGCTAGAGGGCCGTGCCCAACTGGTAGTGGTTAATGGAGTGAAGTCCAGCCAGCGACCTGTTTCAAGTGGTGTCCCCCCAGGGGTCGGTACTGGGGCCTGTCTTGTTTAAAATCTTTATTGATGACCTAAATGAGGGGATTGAGTGTACCCTCAGTAAGTTTGCAGATGACACCAAGCTGGGAGGTGGTGTGGATCTGCCTGAGGGTAGGGAGGTCCTTCAGAGGGATTTAGATAAGCTGGATCGCTGGGCTGAGGTGAATAGGATGAGGTTCAACAAGGCCAAGTGCTGGGTCCTGCACTTTGGCCACAACAACCCCATGCAGCGCTATAGGCTTGGGGACGAGTAGCTGGATGACTGTGAAGAGGAAAGGGACCTGGGGGTGTTGGTTGATGCTCAGCTGAACATGAGCCAGCAGTGTGCCCAGGTGGCCAAAAGGGCTAGCACCATCCTGGCCTGCATTAGAAATAGTGTGGCCAGCAGGAGCAGGGAGGTGATCATCCTCTGTACTCAGCTCTGGTGAGGCTGCACCTCGAGTGCTTGTTCAGTTTTGGGCCCCCCACTACAGGAAAGACATTGAGGCCCTGGAGCGTGTCCAGAGAAGGGCAACAAAACTGGTGAGGGGTCTGGAGCACAAATCTTATGAGGAGTGGCTGAGGGAGCTGGGATTGTTCAGTCTGGAGAAGAGGAGGCTCAGGGGAGACCTCATCGCACTCTACAACTTCCTGAAGGGAGGTTGTGGTGAAGAGGGGTTTTCACCTCTTCTCCCAGGCAACAAACAGGACCCAGGGAAATGGCTGCAGGTTGTACCAGAGGAGGTTTAGGTTAGACTTAAGGAAGAACTTTTTTCCTCAGAAAGTGGTCAGGCACTGGAATGGCTGCCCAGGGAGGTGGTGGAGTCGCCGTCCCTGGCAGTGTTCAAGAGGCGTCTGGATGAGGAGCTGGGAGATCTGGTTTAGTAGCTTGTGGTAGCAGTGGTAGTGTGAAGACGGTTGGACTAGATGATCTTATAGGTCATTTCCAACCTTGTGATTCTATGATTCTATGATCTCCCTTTCTGCAACAAAGTTTGCCAGTGTCGCATATAAGCACTTACTGGGCTGAGCTCTATTAGATAAAAGATTTTCTATGTTTTATACATACAAAGTTTTGAATTGTCCTGTTCAGAAAGTATGAGTTAATTCCTCCATCATCCATATGAATAATCTCTCTTGATTAGTTTGAGATTAAATGGGCCAGGGGTACTTTTACTCATCCTCTTGCACTGAGAAGGTGGCAGTGTCAGTCTCTAAAGCTCACATTGTTCCAATCCTACCTAGCCTTCTGAGCATTTTTACACTGCCTTTCACCCAAACTGGCAAAATTTATGCCCACTCACTGTTTCGTCCTTGCTAGCTGTGTTATCTATTACTTGAGCTGCAAATATTTGGAGTCAGGTCCCAGAATATCTGTTAGATTCCCTCTTGTTCTTCCCATTGCTGAAAAATTTTTAAAGTGTAGAAAGCAAACAACATAACAAAGATCACGGTGGTCTGGTGAAGTTCCCACTGATAGGATGAGGGGAAACATAACCCTATTTTCAAGAAGGGAAAAAAAGAAGATCCAGGGAACTACAGGCCTCACCTCTGTGCCTGGCAAGATCATGGAGCAGATCCTCCTGAAGGCCCTACCATGGCACATGGAAAATAAAGAGGTGATTGGTGGTAACCAAAATGGCTTCACTAAGGGCAAGTCATGCCCGACAAACTTGGTGGCCTGTTATGATGGAATTACAGTATCAGTGTATAAGGGAAGAGAAACTGACATCATCTATTGGTGATAGGTAGATGGTTGGACTGAATGATCTTGAAGGTTTTTTTCAACCCTGGTAATTCTGTGATTCTGTGATCTACCTGGACTTGACATTTGACACTGTCCTTCATGATATCCTGCTTGCAAAACTGGTGAAAAATGGATTTGATGGCTGGACCAATCATATAAGAACAAGGAATTGGCTGGACAGTTGCCCTCAGTGAGTTTGTGAGTACCCCGTCCCTGGAAGCATTCAAGGCCAGACTGGACGGGGCTTTGAGCAATCTGGTCTAGTGGGAGATGTCCCTGCCTATAGCATGGGGTTGGAACTAGATGATCTTAAAGGCCCCTTCCAACCCAAAGTCTATGATTCTTTCAAAGCTATGGGAAAGTTTTAAGTTACCCAGTATATTGAAGAAAGAGCTCATGCTAAATATTTCTTTTTTCTTTCTTTCTTTCTTTTTTTTTTTTTCCCCAGACCACATCACTGATGTGCTTTTTCTATCTAAAAGAATATATGATCTGAAGAAAACCAAGATAATAAATCCCCCGAGAAATACCAGGTCTTCTCCCAGAAGAATGCTTAGAATTCTGAAATACTTAAATATTATCTAGGCCCTGAGTGGGCTGGAAATAATGGCATTTTTGAGGCCCTGGACAATGTTACTTATCTATACAGACTCCTCTGAGGAGGAGCTTTTGACAGCCGACTCTTTTACCCCTTAAAATCTCATCCTTCAGTTGGGTAGGAAAGATAACTCTTGTCTGTAGCTCTCAAGGAATCCATGGATTGGTTTGTTTTCACACATGGCTAGGCCTTTAAAGATAGCTTAGCAAATGGACTACTTGATACTGCAATCCTTTCTCAGCAGCTGGCAAAGGAAAGGTCTGTGGTGGAGGTCAGATCTTGGTGCAGCACATCCACAGCAGGGATTTCTGAATATATTGTAGCTGGAGCATCCTGCAGCACAGGCATTTCAGAAGTTTCATTCTAAGGGAAGAGGACAGAAAGAAGTAGGACAGAAAGTAAAGCTTGGAGACTCCTGCCTGTCACAAGGAACCATTGTCTTTCAAAATGGCGTGAATAGTGTTTTGTTTTAGCTATTGCTACTAGCAGTAGAGAAGGACAAGAGAAGTGGTGTGAGGTAAGAAAGAAGTGTCTGTCATGCTGAAGACTTTCTTTTGCTTTGTCTCACCCATTCAGACTGCTTACAGACTGCTTGACATATAGTTAGTGACTTTCTATGTACACAGGCAATGTCCAGCACACCATGAGTGCAAATATGATTACTTTGGATCCAATTGTTTCACTAGCAAGGGACTTCCTTTGCATCATGGCTGCTGTCCTAAGCACTATGATGAAAATATCAGTTCCTTGAATGCTAAACTGTAACTCCTTAAATATAGCAAGAAAATAGCTAGACTTTTATCATCTGCATTCTATTATCTCTATGAAAAAGAATGACTAAATCCTCCAGAGAGTAACCTCAGTCTTATGAAGGAACCTAGGAATAGAAGTTCCAACAGAAATGGAACACAACTTTTCCCATCATATATATTGTCAGCTTAATAACAAAGAAGTCTTCATAGGGCAACTTTGAATCAGTGGGAAACCTCTTAATCCTGGATTCAAAATTCAAACCTGGCATCATGCATGCCCCCTATGATTTGTTAAAATCACAAGTAAGTCCTTTTGTTATTCTGGAGCTCTTCTGTCAGTATCATTTTCCGCTGGGGGGGCGGGGGGTGGGGAGGGGAAGGAGGGAAGAAAAAAAAAAGTGGAACATTGTCATGAAAAAGTCTGAGTAAAAATGAGTCAGAAAAGGAAAAAGGCAACTAAGGCAACTGTGTAAAATAGACCCTTAGGAAACCAGTGACTTTTTTCCTTAAAAATTTCCTTAAAAATTAATCATTACATTTCTTGAGAATGTTTAAATTTCTTCTTGTAGACACAAGTTGATAACTTTAAAAATTACTTTTTTTTTTTTTTTTTTTTTTTTTTTACAGTTATGTTCGAAGTCCCAAATGAGATGAAATGCCTTCTTTAAAACTCTGTGAAAATGCTGGAACTTGATTCTGTCCATCAGTGGCTCCCTCCCAGAGATACCACAGGAAACTTTGGAGTGGTCCTCAGACTATTTTCATTCATGGATTTGACAGTTCATTTATACCATGTCATTATGGTGATGGTCTCTGAGGAGTGGTGTGTCTGCCAAACTACTGGAAGCCACAGCCCCTTTGGTTATCCTTTTCAAATACCTGAAGCTGGTGGAGTGCTTTATAGTGAAACAGGCAGCTATGAGAACTGTACATGACAGCACGCTCAGTGAATGTGCTCATGAGTCAAAAGACCATCAGCTTACCACAGCACCTCTGAGCTGCACCCAGTCTGCATGACTCAGACTAAATAAAAAAGGATCCATCGCACACCACTGCCGACCTCTTATTCTGAAAAGTGCAATTACCCAGAACACGCGGCTAATGTTTAAAATAATGCTTTCAATAAGGACCAGAAGTCCCAGTGACATCAGAGACGCAAATGAACTTCAGAACCCGGGCTTTCCCGGTTTCTCGGGCACGTGATTTCGGGAACGACGGACCACTCACTCCTCAGCTTTTGCCCCGGTGGGCCTCGGCCGCCGCCACCAACAGCCGCTCCCCTTCCGAGGCCGCCTCGCAGAGGGTCCCTCCGGCGGGGCGAGGCCTGCTGCAGTGCCGGCGGCGTCTCCCGGCCCCGCCTTCCGCGAGGCAGGAAAGCGCCGCGCCCTGCTAACGGGGCGGGCCGCGCCCCCGTACAGCCCCAAAAGAAGGCGGCCGCCGGCGGGGTGGGGTTTGCGCCGGGACGGGCGGGCGAGAGAATCCCGTTAGAAGCAGCGCGGAGAGCCCCAGCAGCGCAGGACGAGCGGCCCGCCGTGCCCAGAACGCCGGGAAAATGCCGAAAACCGTGAGTGCCCCGCAGCCGCTCCGGGAGCGTCACCCGGCTGTCCGGCCCCGAGTTTCCTCCGGGGCACGGCGGGGTTGGGATGGCGGAGCCTCGGCTGCCCGCCCCGTCGGGCGTCGGGAGCTCTTCGTGGCCGGGCTCGCCCCGTTCCTGGCGGCTGGGTCCTGGAGGTACCGGCGGAGGCGGCGGCCACCGATCGGCCGTGACCCGGGGCGGGAGGAAGGGTTTCTCGGGGTCGCGGCGCGGGCCCGGCGGCGGAGATGCGGCGGGTGGGGAGGGATCCGCCCGCCCCTCCATCTTGTGCCGCGCTCCTCGCCGGTCGCTTCCTGTCCCGCCGCAGCATCCCGCGCCTGGAGGGGCCGGGCCGGGCGGGGGGCGGCCAACTGACCGGCGGCGAGCGAGGCAGCTCCGCCCGGATGCCGCTTGTCCTCCTCTGTAAAATGTCTGAATAACGAGGCGCCGTTTTGCTCTGCTCTGCTTTGCCGGCGTCTTCTGTGTTGGGAGCGCGTTGAGTGAATCTTTGGAGAGCCCGATGAGGAATTAATTAAACCTATGGCTACCTCTCATGTGCTTTGTGCGGAAGAGAAGTTCGGGGTTTTCACAACTTGTAATTAGTCAGTTTAGGTTGCTAGGGGAGGTTTGCCCCAGCTTGACTCCAAGTATTTCTTGGCTGGAGAGATCTTGATACTTCAGAAAGTCTGTTCAAGTCCGTACTTGACTCTGTTACAGCAGGAGTTCAGTGACTAATAAGGAGCTTTTTTTTTTTTTTTTTTTTTTTTTTTCTCTCCTTTATTTAATTTATCCTGTCCGCAGAAAGAATTGGTCCCTACCCTTGGTTGATAAAACAGGAAGGATCAGACTGGAAGGCTCTGGATGTTTCCTCACTCAGAATGTTCTGAAACGGCCTAGGGACTTGTGTGCTTAAACTGAAAGACCGTATCTCTTACATCGAGAGAAGGGGGGAGGGGGGGGAACCAAACAAAATAACCACACCCCTCTATAAGGGGAAGTTGAAACAGAATCCACCCTGATTTTTTTTTTTTTAAAGTAGCTTAATGTTATCATTTTAAAATAGATATTAATTACATATTTAACTGACTTCTGCTTTTCTTGCTGTATTAAATGCCTGCATGCCAGATCCCTGAGACGAGCTGGATTACTGTGTTTTAGCATTTTCCTGTTTGTTTGTTTGCTTATTTTTGCTTTTAATTTTAAACGTTGGAGTCTTAAAGGATATCAAATTCAACCCTTAAAGATTGAGAAGACTGCACTTCCTAAAGGTTTTGGAAGGCCTTTCTTCAAACAATAGTAATGATTAGTGAAGAGTTACTTCCTAAAAAAGGCAAAAAATTTAGTACGATCAACAGAACTAGCTCAGGTTAAGGGACTTCTGTGTAAAGTGCAATTCAGGCTTTTTAGCCTGATGAGGGTTTGCAGTTGTGGAGTGACTTCTTCTATCATGAATCAGACCACAAATCCCGAATATGTCATGGAAAGGCTTATGAGGCAGGGTTCCTTGCTGATAGGATGAATCCAAGTGTTTTGACACTGCATTACAAGGTGCTTACAGCCTCCTTTCAATCTGGAGACACACCCCAGGCTGGATTCACGTTCGCTATCTGCTGCTTTCTAGTTCTGACAGAACAGTCAGAGCTGGAATAGATAAAGAAGTTTAGATACTTTGTTATACGTTGCAGAAAGTGGTTCACATGTTTGTGCTTGTTGAGAGAGAAAGCTGCAGGCCTCCTGCTAGAGCAGTCGCTTCGGTTTCCTGCCCCATCTGCTGCAATTGCAGACCCAACTGAAATAATACTTTAAACATCATTTCTTGTGCTGTGGTTTACAGGAACAGGAAACACTGGCATAACTGTGTAATCAGTTCTTCATGTGAAAGAAACATGACCACTAACATGCTAGCTTAAGATTTGTTAATAACTACTTAATTAACAAAACAATAAAACAAAGTAACTTTCCTTAATTGAGGTCAAATGTGGGTGAAACTCGAGCAGCTAGATGTAGCTATATGTAGGCTTCATCACAAAAATAAATCCATTGTGAAGAAGACAGATGGAGGAAATGTTCCAGGGAACAGTTCTGGCTGGGCAGGAAAAACATTTGTGTCTAAAGTGTTTGGTAGCTCTTATCATTCATCTCACCAAGCATACAGAACATGCTGTGGCTGCTTTGTGGCTTGAGCAGCAAAACCTGCTGAGTTCTGAGGCCCTGCTTTCTGGTAAGTCAGGCTAAATGTTAACATATCTAGCTAGAAATTGCTTGTTACACGAGATTCGTTCACAGGGGCACTATGCTTTAGTACACTATTAATAGGAGTCCAAGATTAAATCAGGTAACCTTCGAACTAGTGGCACATGATTTGCCGCTGTGTAGTGTAATGTCTGCAGTCAAGATGGGGTTTGATTGTTGTAGACTGTGTAGAAAATGCATCACAGATCTGCTTACTAATCCTGCCACACACTTCCCAGGAAGGCTTCATTGTTTTATCTTGAGTGCTCTTATAGTTAAGCAGCCAGCTCCATTTATATATACTTTTTTCTGAAAGATGTGCAGGATGTAAACAGCTGAAGCACTTGTAAAAGAGGACGTACAATTCCCCCTACGCTTTGTATTGCAAAGGGGTGGAAGTGGTTGGTTGGTAAAATGCCTCTTGCAAACTATTGTCAGTTTCAAACTCTGCTGGTTGTGAGAAGTCAGTTGGCTGTGATTGGCTCTGATCTCATGTTCACTGTCTTGTACTCTGGTCTTGAGCCATTTCAGGGTTGATAGAGCTGAATGTCACACTAGGTTCCAAATCTTGATAAAAATGAATGAGTTGTCACATTGACAGCTGGTCCAAGCCCGATAGTTAATTGCTTTAACTTTAATACTGCAAGAAACATTTAGCTGCGAAGAAATAATGGAAGGGAAGAACTCTTTTGTGCCAGTCACATGTATTTCAATGTATTTTTAGCTATTTTGTCCATGAATGTACTGGCTTAGTGGCTATGTGAATGACTTTGTCACTGAGAACTTGAGAGTGTGAGCATCTACCTTGTGTGAAGTGTGTATTCAACTCTTGTGACTGTCCTATCACTGGGAACTGAGCGGTTCTCTTTTAGGTAACATAGATAAATTGATACAATCAGAGCTAACAGATTCAAAGTGGGGATTGTAGAGTTTGGACTCCCCTTTCTGTATTTGCAGAACTGTTTCTTTGTACATACAGAACATAAGTCTTCTATGTTTCAAACTGTTATTGCAGAGAAAATCAGCTTGGACAAGCATGAAGTCCTCAGAACAAAAGAGCAGTGAGATTTGCAGGTCTCAAGTTTACTATGATAGTTCAGATTTAAAAGCAAATCTTATTTGCTGCTGCCTTTTCCCTTAATATTTTCTAAAATTCAGCATAACAGTTGCCAAAAGATGCACGAAGGACCCTGCCTGTAGCTGATATTGATGGGCTTCAGTTGGACTACAGATGCCTTTAGGATTGGAGTAGGTCTGGTTAGGAGAAAGGTTGTTGTGGGACTGCGTAGCAAGTGTCAGGAGATCCTGCTGGGTCGTTTCTTGAGGTGCGGTAGCTTGCTACTGAACTCTGCAACCAAGTGGCAGCTGTAAGCAGAGTGCTACATTTGTAGCATTGGATTATTATTTTTTTTTCTTGTGGACTTTTCTAGGGGTCTTAAAAGCTGGAGGCAGAGGGTAGACAATGGTAGGAACAATAACTGGAAATGGATGGGCACTTACTTTTGGTGCCCTGGGTTGGAATCCTACTGTGCTGTAACAGAACACTGAAAGCATTCCAGATGCCTTCTGCCTACCAAGGGTTGATCCTGTGATGTCGTATCTCCCTATTTCCATCCTTCAGTATAACTCAAAAAAGTTTGGCACTGCTGATCAAAGTTGGGCTTTGGTCTGATATTGGTGCTAACTAGTTGGGCAAACCAATCCATTGTATCTTTCTTCTAGCACCCACGTGCATTGAATTGAACTGAAAAGGTGTGACTCAGAGCTCTCAAAGGCCTTGCTTTGTATAAAAGCTGATTTTGCCCTGTTGGTGGATTTCAGATGAGTTTGTACTTAGGAAGTAACAATAGCTAAAACATGCTGAGCGTGCTGTGGGACCAGGTTAACTACCAGAGCTATAGATTTATATCTGTCATAGGATGGTTATACCCTACCTTGCATTATGTTCCTGGATTTGGCAGAAGTAGCAAGGTTTTTGCTTCTTGGGCAGATGAACCAGTTGGTGCTGATGATAGTGAGCAGAGGCTTCAGTTTGTACTTCTGAGCCTCCTATGCTGAAGTTAAGCAGGTATTTTCAATAACCTTTGTGCTCACTTTGTTTATACATAATGCTAACATTTTACTTCCCTTTCTTATGGAAAGCCCTACCTCCAACTGTCAATGCACTGCAGAAAACATCCGTTACAGCGGTTTTAAACTGTAGCAAGGAAGGCTTATCCCGAGTGCCTGATCTAAACTGGTAATTGTGACCTAGTTCGTAAAACTAAATGGCATATTATTAGGGTTGAGTGCATATCATATCAGAGGTTCAATAGGATTAAATATTAGTTGATTTGATTTTTAATTCTTCGCTTTCTAGTTTGTTTCTTGAGCAAGAAGTAGGCTGGTAAGGTGCATATAATAAAAGCCCCAGGAAAGCTTTAGATTTGCTACTTCTGTAAGAATCCTACAGGGGAAATAGTGCTTAGTATCAGGGGACTGGTCATTACTTGCTTCTTGCATATCACTCTATCTCATTTACAAGGAGTACTTTTTTTGGACCTGCAAGGGGTTGCAGCACTTTCCTTGGGGCAACTGCCTCATCTGATTAATTAACCCTGATTGTTAATTGCAATTCTTGCTTTTCTCATGCAGCTACTTTATAAGATGTCTTAATATGGACTCCTTTTTTTGACAGGAAATGTCATTGTTGCCTCTAGAGGAAACTCACTTCTGTTGTTTTATGCATAGTGGCTGTGATATCTGGTCTGAAGTGAATTCCTCTTTGTGCGGAGCTTGTGTTGACGTCTCTAGGTAGCTTCATGAAAGACAGTTGGCAAACTTTTCAAATACCTTCTGTCTTTTTGTGAAACTGGGTTGTGGGGAGATCCTTGAGTTGCTGGGATCTCTGCATCCTTTCTGATCAACTGACACCTCTCAGGGAAACTTGTCTGGCAGAGGTAGCTCTGGCCCTGCTCCCAGTTTTAAAGGAAACTGACTAAAAGCTTCCTCTAACTACGTCATCTCCTGCACTCTTTCCTGGCTTGGTGCAGCTCAAACAGCCTTATTTGGCTGACTTTCTTTTTCTTCTTCTTCTTTTTTTTTTTTTTTCTTTCCTCCTGTGTCGCAAGAAGGCTTCCCTGAATTTGCCCAATAAATTTGCTGTCTGTGCTCAGGCATTATTCTAAGGATTACAGTGGAGTGCTTCTAAAAGAATTTCGAGATCTCAGTGCTAACTCCTGGACCCCCTCCCCCAGGTGTCTTGTTTGTCTGCCCTCTGGATGTGATGATAGTGGAAATCTACATCCTCTGTGAGGAGTGTCCCTGCTGTTGCAGACACAATGATGGAAAAGAGGAAATCCTTCTCTGCCTAGGAATAATGGGGGACATTTAACTGTTTTAAAAGAAGAGCAGCTAGTTAATTGCTTTCTTTTTCATGGCAGTGTTTGAGAACAGCAGGGATTTGCATAGTGCAGCCAATATTGCTGCATCGAAGGAATTTGTTTTTATCCTATCAGAAATTTCTAGAGCAGGCTGAAGTCTCTAGATTCATGGAAAACTAATTTTTAGTTAACCTCTGTGACAACTTGAATGCTCTTGAACTGGAGAAACACATGTAAGTTTTCTAGAAGTTGTTGGCGTTGTACCCTCCCTTCTGACTACAGTAGCTAACTGTTTGCACTTACTGTAAATAGGTGGTGCAGTAAATACTTGGCAGTGAGGTAGTAACAAAATCACCTTAGTGATTATAAAGACACAGAGTCAACTGCAGCTGTTTGGAGGTTGAGAACCTGAAAATGCAGAGGTTTGGGCCTTATGTTTGCAAGAGGCAATTATAGCTGTATTAAATGTGGACACGTGGCCAGGCGATCTAGTGCTGCTTCCCTCCTGTGCATCTCTGAAAGGTTAGCTTTGCTTCTGCGAGTGTGTGGTCCTCCAATGGAGTAGTGAGGCCGTCAGAAATTCCTGGCCTATGTATATTAACTTTCTGAACCTCTATTAAGTTTTGATGCCTCTGAAGCTGCAGCTGTCCTGAGGAACATATTCTCAATACTCAGATGAAGCATGGAGGAATAATTTTCTGTTCTCGTCCCAAACATGATCACTCCCAGGTATAGAAAAGGAGTTGTTGTTTTTTTTTCACTGTACATGGTTCTTTCTTACCGCTGGCCATGGTTGGTTGACTAAAAGCTACGGGCAAAAAAGAGAGGTGCCCCAAAAAGGAAGAATGAAAGAAAAAGAGGATGCTAACTTCAGCAGTGTACTGGAGTGTGAATAATACAACGCTTTTTTTTTTTTTTTTTTGAGATTAAATCAGTGTTAGACAAGCTCACATGCAGGTAGTGGAGAACTATGCTTCTGCTGCTGTGTGCTTTCCTGTGTTCTCCAGATATTCTTTTTTTAGGCAAAAAGAATGTCTTCCTGCAGGCATGAGCCATTCTTGTCTGTTTATCACTGGCTTGTCCTTTTCCCGTTACTAAGCCCTTATGACTTTCAACTTTCTTTTTCTCTGGATTACACAGTTAAGGTGGGGAAGTGACTAAGTAGTGGAAAAGTGCAATCAATCATTTAGTCACACCATTTAATAAATATACTTCTTTTTCTGTAACACAGAAAGCACAGTGTAGCTTTTGAGCTATACTGAAATTCACTCTTGAGTATTAGTCCTCTACTTTGTTGCACTGTAAAAACTGACCTGACAGACAAATTTTAGGGTGAAGTGTTAGAACTCTCAGCAACTCTGCTAGCCCTCTTAGTCTCTTTTTATTCATAATACCTTTAAGAATAAGATAGAATTTTTTTATCCTTTAAATATTCTACTCTGGAATAATGATTAAAATAGTGATCCATGTATATTTCCTCAATATACTGTATGTCCTTTCAGGCTGGCTGCTTGATGGGTAGGATGGTTCTGGTTATATATTTTTCTCTATTAAAATTCAGAACTTGTTGTTCTAACTGATTAGTATAGGGTAGCTAGCTCTCCAGCAGCTTTTGTGGTCTTGCAGAGTTATCAAAATTTAAGCTGAGAAAGATCTCTAGAGGTCATCTGGTCCCATTTCATACTCAGAGGAAGGCTGATTTCAAGGCCAAATCACTTTCTAAGTTGGATTGAATTATTCAGAGTCTTGTGTTGGTTGTGGTGAGGCAATAGTTCTTGACTTCTTCACACACAGATTGGGAAGTACTTGAATTTGCAAAGTGTTAAATAGATGCCTGGAAGTTCTTAAGGTTACCTTCAGGAGTGTGGAGGAATGGAGACAGGAGAAGAACTATTTGAGTATAACAACAACAAAAAACCCTATCAAAAGCAACCCCCTTTTTCTTTTTCTCCCCTCCTCCCGCCCTAAGAAATACATATTCTATTTAAAAGTTACTGAATATACCTAGCTTGTCTGTTCAGTGCGCTGGTGCAGTTAAGCTGTACAAGGTGTCTGTGTCCAGCAGTAGTCTAAAAATGGTTTCCCATAGAAAGCTAATCCTTGGCCACAAGATATGTTAAGCTGTCAGAGCCCTGAGGTGCAGATAGTGATGATGCATTTCATAGGTGCTTCTTAGCAATGCTTGCAGTACTGTTTCAGGATATGCAGCCCTGTAGAAAGCTGAGAATAGTTTGTTTCAGTAGCTGTTCACTGAGAGTCTGAAGCTTTGTTCTTTTCTTTAAGTTGTAGCACTTGCAGTTCTCTGTAGTGACAACCAGGCTTTACCAAAAAGTTACCGGATACTAATACTGCTCCAAAGGAGGCAGTGAGAGGCTGCGTTATGGTGACAGGCCTTTCGGACGGCTTGCAGTGGTGGTGTGACCACACCCTGCGTGTGCTGGCACTGCTCTCTCCAGGCTGCTGCCAGCAGCTCTACGCCCACCCGTGTGGGAGCCTTTTGGGACACAGGGTTCTGTGTATTCTGCTGTTGTAGCTACTCTCTATATTAGGAAAGCTCAAGTGCTTGAACTACACAGAGCTTAAAATAACAGAAGGTACTTCAGCAATCACAAGCTGGTCTTTTATAAGCGATGTACAGTCCCAACAGAGCTATCTGAAACCTAAAATAGGTTGGAGAGGGAAGCAAATGTGGGTGGGGAAATTTACACTTAAAAAGTACTATAGAACTGAGCTCTTTCAGGGAAATCCTTCATTTTAGAGAACTGTGACCTAAATAAGCATAGAAGCAGCCAGCCTGCATGAGATCCTGTACTGAAAGGAAATTGCAGGATTTTTCTAGCTCACTGAAAATGATATAACTGAAAATCACAGGATGATGAAACAGCCTTACCTCACATTTGACTCTGCCTGCAGTTAAATTTGGCGGGATGGCTCATAGTCTGGGCAGTCGAATCCCACAATAAGGCTGTGTTCTAACTCCTAGAAGTCTGGCTATTGTTCAAGATACTCTGAGCTCTGTGAGCTGGCCAAGAGCGCAATGTGCCACACCCAAGCACTGCTTTGAAAGTCTGGAAAAGGCAGCTGCTGCATGTGGCTGCTCTTCTTGCTTATTATCAGCAAGCCTAAGTGCTGCATGTCTTTTGGTTGAAGAACAGGGAAGCATCTGAAACAGCTGAGCACATTTCTAACTTGTTCTTCCAAACACGAGAATCCTCCTGCAGAAGTAAGAGCTCAGTTACAGAAGTGATCTTTGTGCATCTAGCCAGTGGGAATTCTCTTGAATGATAAGTGCAGCTTCTCAGTGTGTCTGTCTTATTGCCCTACATTTCAAGTTACTGCTAAGACTGCTCCTAACTGAAGGTGAATTTGAAGACCTTTACACAGGGAATT